CTTAAAAACATTTTCTCTAAAGTAATACTACTTGTACAATTTCACTTGCCTTAATTAACGAGAAATTTCTTTTTTGTTTTAACTTGTTACTCAAAATGGCTGCTGACAAAGTTTTTTTTAAAGAACTTGAAATGCTTTGGTACCCCAGGAGAGCAGGCTCAATCTCCAATACAAAAGATTAGTCACTGGTTAAGAGTTTCAGCAAAGGGACAGGGTTTATTTTTCTCCCCCTCTGGCACAYTGAACACATTTTTCTAAACATTTCCTTTGGGTTTGGACAGCAAAAACTTGTGTGGCTTGAGGAAAGGGACAAGAGGCGCAACAAATTTCCCAGTAAAGTCAAGCCTTTATGACCAAGAAATGGAATGAGGGTGATAAGAAATGTTTCTGCACCCATTCCCCAAAGTAACCACCTAAAACCCTAAAGTCACTAYTAGAGACGAATAATCATCATTTCAGTTTGAAATTTGAGGCAACCTGAAAGCAATACTGCAACTTCTAACTATTCAAATGCAGACATTGATGTAAACATCCTAACATTTATTAAAACATTTTGGATTCAGACTGACCAGATAATGAGGACCACAACATTTGTCACCCATCAAATCAGACATGAAGTCACCTCCCACAGGAGGTGGGCATGAATGYTGGTGACAGCTGGGGAATTGTATCACAATACCACACAGCTAGCAGATGTCTGCTTTAATGATCTCTCCTTCACAACAATGAGATCATTAACAGCTATAACCACACTAACTTAAATATAAATATTTGTGTTTATTAAATGTCCAAATGCACACGCATGGCTGCAAAGGACAAAAATGATTGTTTTTATGTAAAAGAAAGCAGATAAATCAATTCTTTTCATCACAGCGTGATATCTGATGTTATTACTTATTCATTAGTGTCCTTCAATGAACAGCTATTTTAGGCATTGATCAAAGGAAAAAATAAAAAAAGGAGATCCCCCTTCCCCCATCAGAATCTTCCCCGCTCCTTCACCCAACAAAAGGCTTTCACCGACGTCCCCACCCCCGGTCTTTTTCTCCTCACATGGACGAGCATGTATCACGATCAGAACCAGGCCAAATGTGAACCGACATGATTTTTCATTTAAGCAGGCAGGAGCTTCSGGCTAATCAGAAGCATACAGAAACAACAGGTTAAAAAGACACACGGATCGCTTTGGATTTCTTTAGATAACCAGTGTTAGCACAACCACCAGCAACCTGAAGCCTTGAGTCGCTTCTTCTCTCTCTCTCTCTCTCTCTCCCCTTACCCGTTCTTGTTGCCTTCGGACAGCATCATGACCGGCCTTGAAAGACAATCTCCCGGGGATAAAGACGACACTCCGCGGCTAGCTGTTATTTCGATCCGGTGTGGGCTGAAACTGGACACAATGAGCCTAGAACCGCTCGTCGCCGTTTCTATTTCTCACCGGCCGTGTGCACTGCGTCGGTTTCAGGGAAGCACTGCATGCATGACGGCCATGTTGGCTAGCGCGGACAAGTCGAACAGAAAGACCGATTTACTTTCCGGTCTAGGATTTTCACAATAAAAGCCCCAGTTGGACGCTCAAGCGTGGCACACATCGAATTAAAATGAAAACGGGRATAAGCAAGGGATCACACATAAACAAATGAGAGGAAGGAAATTTGCAACAATAAAGGAGCTGTAGTGTTTTGCATTAGATATCTATAAATGTGAAATAGCATGAACAAGCCAGAAAGTGTCCTGATTTACACAATTAATGCTTCTAATAGGTACAAGTTGACAAAGGATACACAAATAAATTATATTTCCTTGCTAATAGGAATGMGYGATATAAACAATATACGGTAGAAACGATATAAATTTGTCCTATGATAGAGATCTGTAGTCTACCGRCCAACCGTGCAATTCTTTTTGATGACTTAACCGGCTGGAGTCAAAACAGAGGAAGCGTGGCTGAGAGYGCAAATGAAGAGGGGGAAAAACTTATCCGGACCTGGTTCGGGTGTGTGAAAATGAACGCCGAACTGTTTACATTTTTACGTGACGACGCRTCCTCCAGTCAGTCTGCCTGCTGCGGGAGGAGCGCGCTCCGCGGCATGTGTGAAGGGCTCGACACACGGGAGGCGACGTCGCTCGCTCTCCATTCATTTCCACGCAGCGAGGC